CAGCTGGTAGTAGTCATATAGAATAATGATGCATCTTGTATAGTTACGTTGTCTTGATAAATCTCACATAGATGACATTGTGAGTGGAGACATTGGTGGGCTCTGATCAGGAGTTGATCTGCATTACAGAGATATAAACAACTATTTGCTGAACCAGGTACCACACCAGGTCTTTGTGTTGAATTCCCCATAACTCTGAAGCTTTTTCCCAAAATCTTCATTTCTTTCTCTATTTTATATCTCTGAGTTTGAAGTTTAGTGTGCATGAGTGTTTCCTGTTGTGCTATAAATTGAATGAAATTATGTTTCTCCATGCTTTTCAGTTCTTGTACGTCTTGGACATCAATAGAGAGTTGATCGGCTAAATGTGAATCGCAAATGTGAATTTGTGCGTGGTATTTATCATCCGGATTGTTTTGTAAGGTTTGTTTAGCCACTGAATCCTTGAGGTCACCTGAGACTAACTATCTTTCTTATAACCAAATCTGTAAAATACAATTTGAAAGTTCGTAGATTTGTTTGCATCTTTAAATTACGCGGTTGTAGTATGTTTCTTTGAAAATTAAGTTACAGCACGATAAAATATATCTTCACAAAACAGAAAACGGTTTCAGAACAAAATGCCTAAAAGATATGCCTCATAATTAATTAAAAGCTGGAGTAATTAATCAACAGGCTCCTATGTATTACCAAATTGTCATACAAGTACAATGTATAATGTTAAGAAAAGCGATAGAAAGGTTGAAATTGGTTATTATATCAAACCCCAAAGTAAAGGGCAGTGTGAGAACAATATTAACAGACGGCAATATGAACTGAACGTATAATATCAAAAACATAACATACAAAGTTGTGTAAAGCGATTGAAAAGTTTTTTGGTAACTTGTCGTAAGGGATAGTTCGGAGAAGCGATGAAGTAGACTAGTAAACGACCCTCAAATAGTAAGATCATTGTTCGAAGCATGAATTGGTTATAAGTCAAATTTAAAGGCGCCATCAATATCAGTTTGAAACATTTTCAAATATTGAATGGGGACAAATAGAGTCAAATTTATCATACCCCTATAGCACAGTGGTCATGTGATCGGCCAGTTTGAAATGTCAAGCTTTATTTGGCCTGCAAGTACATGCATTGGGGACGACCAAAGAAATCACCTAGCAGCTTTATTTTTTTTCTATTTTGAAAAACACATTGAAATTCTACATTTCAATTTAAAAGAATGAGAAAATTGACAGCGAGTCATGACCTCATCTGACGAAAAGCTGGACTATCTGTAATGACTAATGCTTATTTCTGGGGTTGAATCTGATGTCTGTATGTGTACGTGTTAGCAGCTAAGCGTGTCAAAGATCCACGAACACAACGCTATGTTCATAGCCATATCGTTCAAAGCATATATGGGTCAAATGTCAAACGCCAAAAATACAAGCGCCATCAATGTCAGTTTGAAACATTTCCGAACATTAAATGGATGCAAATTAGATTCTAATTAAGAAGACTCCTTTAGCAGTGTGGCCATGTGGTCGACAGTCCAATATTTACAGACGGCTATACAAGCACAATGTATATTGTTAAAAAAATAGCATAAACAATTGCGAAAAGCGATAGAAAATTTGGTAGATTTGATTGTAAATTTTACCTAAGTGAATTTTGCGAAAGTGAAAGTCCAATATTAACAGACGACCATTTGAATTTAACATATGATATCGTACAATAGTTGAAAACGATTGAAAGTTGTTTTATTTGTATGGTAACTTGATCCATGTGGTAGAACTTTCACACCCGTAGGGGGGAAGTTCAAAGAAGCTATGAAACGACTGGTAAATGACCCTCGAATTGTCAAAATTTCGAAATTGAATCGTCCTATAACGTATCTTTCCTCCGATATAGATGACCCTCACCCTACGCCAATTAATCCACGAACACTGCTATCAACTATGATGAACGTTCTGAACCAACTTTCGGCAACTGAGATGATCTAGCGAAACTTTAGACTTGTATATCAAAATTACAGCAGCAGTGCTTGCGATGCAGATAGACTGCAGAATAGCTGCCTTATATACACTAGCAGCATCAATTAACGGACAAACGTAATGAATGTAATAAAAGTTGGAGACATTTTGCTGGTTCAAAATAACAATGAACGACGCATTAACTGCAGGGGGACATACCAATAGTCAAATAATACCTATTAGGACTTACTGCAGCCCCAGTTTCATGTGTGGACAACAAAACAACGTTCAAGTCGTTGCATTTGCAAGATCCGTAATTTAAATGGTTGACTATTTCATTGGTCATATACTTATAGTTAGAACTTAAAATTACTTCACGTTTATAATCTGGCTTAATTTCTATGATCATATGATTTTCGCCGCCGGGGAATGTTGAAAAACCATTTTCGAGCTCGAGACAACTTTTGGATTCTCAGTAGAAACAGTTATTCAATCGCAAATTGTGAGATAAGGTTTTGACATGACTGAAACAGGCAAGAAATAACACAAATAGACCATGTTGTCTTACCTCGGGAAAACAAATCCATCACATCATAATTGAATACACTGAATAGATTTACTAAACCCTGCAAGGTATTACTGTAACTGTAACTTATGCATACGTGTTTATTTGTTCCGAGAGCTGTTCGTCTCATCGTAAATACTTGCATATGAATTTATTTCATCATTATATGTCCTATAGTTTACGGCTAGAGCATTTTCTATATTACACATCCATTAATACTAACACAAACAAATCACATAACCAAGTAAATATTTATTACCAAATATTATAAATATAAGTGTATAATGTTTCGAAAAATAAATAAAAAGACCTGGACTGGGTTCTGGAAACAGAAAAGTCATCTGGGCGGTACCTCTCACTCGAGGTGGGTGAAAGGTTGTTCAGGATTATTATATAGACTGTTCAACACAGGTGTAGACCGGGGAGTGAGTCATGTTTCTTGTCTTCGATAATGCTTTTATTCACTATGGGACATGTACGCCAATTTTATTTTTGAATTGTCCGTTTACAACACAGGTTCTACACAAACAATATATGGACATTAAACACGCAGTATTCTTAAATCCTCTACCCGCATTATTAATAGACTATGTATCTACTATAATCCTGAACTATCTAGTCACTTTATTTATTTTATTACTCGAAACTGATTCACGCCTGATTCATGAACCGTGTAACCCTAATTCGTGGTCCAATTTATTCACCATATTCCTGAACTGTCTTTCCACATTTATTATGAGTTGTTTACTCATCATATGCCTTCACTGTTTACACACCTTAATCATAAGCTGTGTACAAACACTGTGCTTTATTTCAACTCAATTGCTAGATAATCTGCCCACCCTCCTCCTGGATATTCCACACACCCGAATCTTTGGCTGTATACCCAGCCTTATTCTGAACTAAGCACGTACCATATCCCCGCACAGACTGTCGACCGTGTCCTAGGACTATTTAATCACCTTATTCCTGGACAGTGAACCTATTTTATTTATGGTCAATCTCACCTGGGCTTTCTATTCACAGTATTTCTGACGACAATTAAACCTGTCATGAACTCTCCCAATTCCTAACTGGTTACCTGGCACATTTCAGAAACTGTCTACCCTCCAATTCCTAACTGGATACTTGGTATATTTCTGAACTGTATACCCTCCCTATTCCTAACTGGCTACCCGGCATATTTCTGAGCTATCTACCCTCCCAGTTCCTAACTGGCTACCTGGCATATTTCAGAAACTGTCTACCCTCCCGATTTCTAACTAATCACCTAGCATATTTCAGAAACTATCTACCCTCCAATTCCTAACTGGCTAACCGGCATATTTCTGAGCTGTCTACCCTCCCAATTTTTAACTGGTTACCTGGCATATTTCAGAAACTGTCTACTCTCCCAATTCCTAACTGGTTACCTGGCATATTTCAGAAACTATCAACCCTCCAATTCCTAACTGGCTACCTGGCATATTTCTGAACTGTCTACCCTCCCGATTCCTAACTGGTTACCTAGCATATTTCTAAGCTGTCTACCCTCCCGATTCCTAACTGGCTACCTGGCATATTTCTGAACTGTTTACCCTCCCGTTTCCTAACTGGCTACCCGACATATTTCTGAGCTGTCTACCCTCCTAATTCCTAACTGGCTACCTGACATATTTCTGAGCTGTCTATCCTCACAATTTCCAACTGGCTACCCGGCATATTTCTGAACTGTCTACCCTCCCGATTCCTAACTGGCTACCTGGCATATTTCAGAAACTGTCTATCCTCCAATTTCTGACTGGCTAGCTAGCATATTTCTGAACTGTCTACCCTCCAATTCCTAATTGGCTGCCCGACATATTTCTGAGCTGTCTATCCTCTCAATTTCTAACTGGTTAACCGGCATAATTCTGAACTGTCTACCCTCCCGATACCTAACTTGCTACCTTGTATATTTGACACAGTTAACCTATCCTACCTGCTATCCAGCATATTCCCAGGCAATCTAGAAACCTTATTTTTATACCGTCTACCCAGTATATACCTGAACAATCTATCCATCCCACTGTTGATTATTGTTTCCTACGACTTCCAATATAAAATGCTGTATACAATACTATCCATAGCAATTATATTGTAAAGCTTGAAATCATATAAACTTTGTGTTTTCTAGTAATTTACAGGACAACAAAGTACAAGTTCACATAACAGGTTCTAATTCGCAAATATATTACGACATATCTAAGTCTGATTCGTTGATAATTTAATGATTTCATTACGATGGCATGTATATATTAATCCATCAGTATCGATTCATGGGAAGTCTAACCGCTAATATGTTGTTTCTGTGAGCACTTCACAATATGATGGTGAGTTGATTAACACAACATTGTATGAAATTTGTGTGTGAGTGGGAGAGTGGATGTGTGCTCGTGTGCGTGTACTGTTTATGTCTAACAGGGTTTCCGTCTGATTTGATAAAGTCCTTTTGTTCTGCCTATTATGCGACTGTGAATGTGATTATATAGTCCGGATATGCCTGGTAATCATAGAAAACAGTAAACGCTTGTGGGTTGTTAACATTATCAGTCACCGAATCATAACGATCAGCTTGGTTAGATCCTTTTGGTGGTGGTGCCCGTAGTTCTTTGGAACCTTGGGTGTATTCGCCAACAAGAACTCGAGCTTCGAACATCCACTTCTGACCATTGCTATCTTTCGGAGAATATCTGTCTTGCATAGAGTATTCTGAGTTGATGGCAAAGTAACAGCCCTTCCCATACCAAGTCCCAGCTGTAAACACAAACATACATTATTGAGGGGCTGTATCTAGATAGACTCACTGTCTAGACAGGTTTAACCAGTAACTTGCGCACTTATAAATTTACAACAATAGATGTATACATGAATATGTAGTTAGACTCTCCTCACCTGCATCTCCAGCATAGGATCTGTTAAAGCCATCATGCGCAATGCTGATCACAGAGTCCGCCCTGGTACCATGATATAGTGTCCATTCATTCTGTATTCTGTACATAGAGAACATACGTTGCAGTATGAAAACTGTTTAAAATGATTTAGCATTGAATATATGCAAGTACACTCATAAACGTGTATTGTATTAACAGTGTCATATTACATCAAGACATTATAAGGCACGTGACCACATGTCATTACAATTACTACTACTGTTACATGCGGCCCAGTTAATTACATCCAATGTCTTACATATTCATGTGATCATCGGCATTAAAATTTTAAATACCAGGTCAAAGAATGTTCCGTGCTACTCTTTTTGGCGCAATCAAATATGACTGTCAAATTACTACCTATCACTAATAAATTAAAATAATTTTAAAATGCCTAGTATGCACTCACATTCAAAGAAAAAAAAACTTCCTTTAATTTAAGGGAAATTTATTTGAGGGTAACGGGAAGGAGGTTGATTAGTGGTCTTGTCCAATTAGACATTCAGTCATACAATAATTAGCGACAATGACGGATACTACTCACAACTTATTTTTATCTTCAAATGTTCTTTTCTTGATGGAGTATTGCTCGTATAATTGACGATTTTGTATACGTTGAATATTGTCCACACTTTTAAGCTTTTTAGCTGTTGAATTACGAAACCTTGTTTCAACATCTTTGTATTCTTGTGTAGATGAACTTAACGGCACCAAATGAGGTTTATCAACGCGAAGGTCTTTCGGCATTTCTGTCCAATGTTTTGGAAACGCAATACCTAATTGAGTAAAATATTGTATCAATATGTTCAGTACTTTGGGTGGAAATGTCAATGAATGAATGAATGAATGAATGAATGAATGAATAAAAAGTTTGTTAAAGCGGTTCACCCCATAATAACTCAATATATGAATACTATATGCACAAAGCAAGTTATCCCCGTTGGAAAAAAAAACTTTTATAAGTCTACGTCATTGGAACTCGTGTCAATACTATTAGTTCTGTAAAGAAAGAACTATTTTTACATAGTTCTAGTTTTCAAAATCGTCAGCAATGATAGTTGTTTTTACCTTCGAACGTGATGACATTTGTGTTTGTTCAAATGGGGAAATACCTGTGATGTACGTGCCGTCTTTGACTCGTAATATTAAGTCACCTTTATTTTCCTGAGCTAAACGAAGAAATAATTTTTAAATGTATGGTCGTGAGGGCACTTTCAATGTAGACAAATTACATACCTGTACTAGATTCTCTTTTAATCTTCCAGGTTTCCGCTGTCTGAATGTTTGTACATTGCTCCGCCTGTAAGTCAACGTGATACTGTGGTTCGAATTCATTTGGGATATAGACGCTTGTTTTCTTCTCGTTCAGTGCAGTCTCAATCAAAGTACTCTCCATGTCATCAAATTGATGATCACAATTTCTACTGTCGATATAGTACCTGTGTTAAGTATTACAGATATTAAATATATAAATTAATTGCTTATTATTAAACCTCATGATATCGACAGCCAATAAGATTCGCGCATTACAGGTAGACGTATTGGGGTGTCGACCTGCTGTCTAACTTCATCCGGGTACCTTCCTTCCAAATTTACTTGATTTGCGCCAATAACAAGTACAATACGTGGCGATATTCACAAACTGATTAGATTGCCGGGTTTGCGTTAATTATTTCTATTAGAGAGAAAACTAGGATTTTGTAGCGATTGTGCGTGTTCTCCTGCATTTCATCAGTACGCTCAGCTACGCGCTTGGAGACATTCGATCCGCGATTGCAGTACCTTAATAATCTTAGAGTCGTGGAATTTGCCGTTTGATGGCACCGTTTTGTTTGATTTTGTTTCGTTTTTGTGCGTTTTGACAGTATATAGACATATTATGTACAGTGTATTTGTTGAAAGAGAATGATGATGTCATGAACGTATACTGAAGCAGCATGCAACTCCGTGTTGAGCTCGCTTCAGCGTTATAATGCGAACTGGAACGCATTTTGGCGTATAGCTGCATACAAGGTGGCATGGGTGACAATGGGATATTCGGGTCGCTAAAACTGTATGTCTTGTATTTGTATAATGTTAATATACTATGTTTATCCTCCTATTTGAGAATCAGCACTTTCGACGTTTTGGGGTCTACGCACTTGAATTTAATTGTTATACAAAGAAGAAAATTGAATCGCACCATTTGACTTGTGCCCCACACAATTTCTCTATATCGGAGACTTTCTTCATATTATCCAATTCGTCACGAAACGCCTGTATGTCCCTCTTCAGCCCTTCCATGGATATTGTACTTAACTCTGTATTATACATGAAACATCAACAATATAGGATATTTAATATTCATATTTATAATGGTGAATAATACTGGATGAAATAATTTGAGAAGATATACCCAGGAAGATAGTAGACCCCGTCATCGTAGTAAGTAAATAATGTTGTATATAATTTTCAGCGTCACTTACGTTTATCAATATGTATGTCTAAACATAAACACTCAGCTTTGTCTTGGATCTTTTTCAACCGATGGTAATTATAATCTGTTAAGGAATCCTGTTTATAAACATCATATTTCATCTGTTTATCTACAAAATCTATAACCGATTTCAGGCCAATCTCAACATCTTTGTCACTCCCAGCATAAACATGCACTTTTACTACTGCAGCTGAAGAACGGAAGAAAAAGCATTAGCATATATTTCAAGTTCACGTAATGTTGTAAAACTAGCAAACAAAAAATTAAACTCTTTCTTTTCAAACCACGAAAAATCCATTTTTAAAAACATTGTATTTTGATGACCAAAATTATTTGGCGAGAAAAGAGAATTGAAAATATCGCCACGAATTTAAATTAACAAATCTGACATAGGCTCACCCAAGGAACCTCCATACCAAATATCGAAGCAATTATGCTGCTAGTTTGCAGGAAGTTTGAAATGACATTTTTGTATCAAAAATGACAAAAATATTCGCGCAAAATAGAGAATTGAAGTTATATTTATGAAATTAACAAATATGGCAGAGGACCATACAAGGTATCTACGTGTCAAGTATCAAAACAATTTTGTTTGGAATTTACTGGGAGAAGTTGAAAATAGAAATTTTACAAAAATATTCGCCAAAAATAGAAGATATCGTCAGAAAATGAACAAAACTAACAGAGATCCACCCAAGGTACCTACAAACCAATTATCAAAGCAATTGAGCTGGTTGTAAAGAAGAAGAAGCTGAAAACAACATTCTTTAACAAAAATGACAAACTATTCGCTAAGATATGTCCTCGAAATGAACAAATCTGACAAAGGTCCACCCAAGGTACCTACGTACAAGTGCCAAAGCAAGAACAAGTTGAAAAAATAATATTTTACCAAAATGACAACAATATTTGCAAAAAATAAAGAAATAGTGTTATCGTCATGAAATAAGCAAGTCTGTTAGAGGTCCACCCAAGATACCTAAATACCAAGTATCAAAACAATTGTGCTCCCGTTTTCAAGAAGAGGTTCAAAATACAATATTTGACGAAGAATGGATGGACAACGACGGACAACACATATATGAATAGCTCCGCTCTGTCTACGATGACAGCGGAGGTTAAAAAATGACGAGTCCATGTAATATTTGTTAATTGTGAAATTTCCATATATTTACCATTAACCTTAAGAATATTCTCCTTGTGAGGAAACGGTCCCCATTGTCCAATATCAAGGGCTTCGTCCTTATATGTAGTTGTTGCATCTAGCTTTAATTTTAACTCTGTTAGAAAAGATGGGACCATGCTTTTCTCAAAAACAATGAACCGGATCTCTCTTATCGACTGTGGGTTATTAAGCTTCACAAAATCAAGTACAGCATCTGTCATGTTTCGAGCTGCAGCATTTGGTGGTATTTTGAAGTACCCTGTTTCGAAAAAAGCGTAAAAGGTACTAGACATGCGATAGATGTACAAAAGAGTGTTCCTATTTCGTAGTGGTGGATGTATGTTCATTGTTCATAATTCAAATAACGTATAACATACCTGTTCCCATTGCAGGTAATGCAATCGATGTTACTTGATTGTTTTCGGCAAGCTGCAATAAGTCAATCACTGACCTTTTCATGTTATTTAAATTTGGTGTTACAGTGTGAAGTATCTTCTGGCAAGACAAGTTTCCTCCATCTTTAAATACAAAACTTTAGATGTAACAGTTACATACACACCATACACTTATATTATCAAAATCAGATTAAATCATATGTTTTGCGATCGATGGAAAATCCTATGTCAAATTTGTACTTTTTGTAAAGATCTTAATTCACTCCCTATAGAAGATAATGTATTAACGCATCGAGCCAAAAAAGCTTAATCGAAAATTTAACGATTTCTTTGTCAATTTACCTGTTATAATTGGTCCTTTTCTAAGCTCTCTTTTTTTGACTGTATATTCCTTTCTAATAGACTTCCCTCCGTGTTTTATTATAGACTTCCCAATAGTACATAATTCTAGATAATTATATATATAAGTAAAATGTGCATGTACATACAATAGCCTATATTTGCATAATTAGGAGCAATGTGATAATAATGCTTTAATGTAAACTTACCACCGTCATTAGCCACCGTGTTAACAATTGCATGTGAAGAACATTCAATAATATCGCCATGATGGACGGAAATAATAACCTTGTTGTCAATCGTAAATTCATTTAATGCTACGGAATAATGAAAAATGCATCACAATTGAATAGCCCAGCAACTAGTCTTTAAAAGTATATGCTATCAAGTCACTGTTATAAATTTGTATGTACTTGTTTTCATGCATTAACTGATGAACCGCCATTAACGACAATCCTGAAGTCTGGTTGACTATCCGCACCACACATAAAAAGAAAAAGGTTTTCGGCTGTTGCCATGGCAGGACATGAACGTGAAGCTAACGGCGGTTTATAGGTAAAACCGGGTCCTGTATACGAAGTTCGCAAAACACATTTTATTTTTCAGAAGTCATTTCACTTTATTACTAGCACGTATTCTGTGCAACGTAACCAAAATAAAAAGCATGATCATTTGTACACTGCTGTTACAAGACTGATAGGAGGTAATACATTTGGGCGAATGTATTCAAAAATGAAATTTTTGGCTGTTGACATTGCAGCGAATGGCCAGGATTTTTTTCCAAATAGTGAAGGTATGACCTGCCTGTCAATTATGAACAAAATCAGCCAAGCCAAACAAATCACAGGAGAGTTAAAAAGCCGTACAGTTGAAAAGTTGCACCAGCTTTGAGGTCAAATTTCTGCTGAGTAGAATGGGGTATATCCGAGCTTTTTAATCTTAGAAGTGTAGGGTAAGACATATTTGGCGCAAATGTATTCAAACAATCAGTTTTTGGTTCTTGCCATGGCAACGGCGGGCCAGGAGTTTGTTCAGAGTTTACCACCTAAGCAGAGTGAAGGTGTGACTTGCCTACCAAAATTGGCAGTTCGATTACTGGTTAATATGCCACCCAGCATAATTGATGGCCGTCCATATTGAAACAATGTACCTGAGACGTTCATAGCATTACCAGTGGCTCCAGAGGCTGAAGGAAACCTATTGAGTTCTGTGATGTAGGTACGTAACATTGCCGTCTGGAATATTACAATACGTATAGATGTCAATGTTGTTGGTTTGAATCCAGATATTGCGCCAATTATTGCACATGCAGAATCTGTTGCAGATATGCCAAAGCCACCTGAAAAATTCAAATACTAAATTAACGTGGTTTTTCCTGAACCATTAGTGTTTAACTCCTGAATTTATCAATTTCATTCATTCACCTGTTCCAACAGCTGGCAGCGACACCGACGTCAATCCTTTGTTGTCTGCTTCCGCTAAACAGCTCTCTATAGCATATTTGAGTCCTTGTGAATTAGGGCATATAAAGTGAATGATTTTGGCACATCGAAGCTTTCCTGCATCTACAAAAAATGACAGTATATGAATACAGCGAAATTGTTATCTCTAAAATGTTAAACATATAATAATAATATAACTGTCTTACAAAAGTTTAAAAGAAATTGTAATGAGACATTTGACCTAATTGACCCTATAAAAAACTAAAATTTAATAGTGGTAATATTATACATTATACAAGTGGACTAAAAATCACCCTCTTTAAACTCGCCCTGGCAAGTACGCTTCTTGGCCCTGATAAATGTCGTGCGCTGTTAAGTTGCATTACTAAGTTGCTTGTTTTGAAACATTCCTCTCGTCTTTCTCTGTACCCATAATAAGCTCATTAGATTCATTCAACTGATTTGTATGTACATAACCAATAAGTACGCAGTGACTTTTCCGTAAAAGACATGTTTTTCAGAGAAAGGTTAATATTGACAGTTAATTAGACTTCAAACACGAGTTGATATGTGCGTCAAAGTATGAAAATATGCAAATATGGAAATACACCGAACGTTAGACGGACACAATTACGATGTAAACATAGTGTAATTATTACCAGTTGTTATTGGGCCACTTTTCAGACCACTTTTGTACCGACTATACTGGTCTGCTACACTTTTACCACCATCTTTCACAATGGTTTGACCAATAATACCAAATGCTAAAAAAAATTATAATAAAAAATGAAAATAGCATTTTGCTGTTGCGGGTAGAGACAATTAATGTAATGAGATTATGGTACCAGTAAATACACCCTGCAAGTCAACACATTCTACACTATTTGCATATATTTTTAATATTGTAGCCCCACTCACGTGCACGTCAGACTATTGAGAATATACTGAGACATGTTCGTTGTAGAGCACTTCAAACAATTAAACTTACATAAATTTGAACTGACCGGATGGAGAATGGCATCACAATTTTCCTTTGTCAAATCACCTTGCTCAATTTCAACCGATATGTGACCCACAATTCTTTGATTGGATAATGAAGCTGCAACTGAAATATAATCGCAGTCTTTAATGAATCTTAACATTATATGTGAAACAAATTAGCATAATACATTCTATGCATACTTTTTAAAAAAAAATGTGTTGTAAGATACAATTCATAGATTGTATCATTTTGTAAAACTGGTGTACGTTTTATCAAGAGAGCTAGACTAATTGCAATCTATAATATAATATAATATAATGTAATATAATACCCGAAGTTTTGCCATAAGTTGAACGCAATGCAAACAGCTTCTGATGATCGCGAAGTCGTTTAAAGAAAGCGTCTGTCGTGTTCTTGTCATATACAACAAATGTTATCTCCTATAATGGTAGAAAGTTATTGGTAATATATGATTCAATTTGTATTGTTTTCTATAATAGGTAAACTGATTTTCAAACAATCGTGTCTCTATTCTCTACACAGATCGACGCATCCAAGCAACTAAATACATTGTAAATTGGAGGTTTTCGTTCAGAGACAACTGTACGTACCTGAAGATTACATCCTGGATGATTTTTGCTAAATTTGATAACCTCGTCAAAAAATATGAAAGCCACTTCATCTTTTGGAAATCCCATGTAACCAGTACCGATAGCAGGAATGGCGATAGAAACACATTTACTCGCAGCATTCAAACACTTTGATATAACTGCCCTCAGTCGCTAACATAAAACACATAAAGATGATGTAGACCAATAACCAAAGAATGTTCAGTGTTTGCTGTAGTTCATGTTTTGTTACTAAATAACTAATACTAATTTGCATATATCATTATATTAATATATCGTTTTTTAAATGAGTATTGACTGAAAGCATAATACATGATATATCTATAAGGATTCAGCTTTCTAGAACTGTTTCTTTTAATAACTTTTTCATTTTCGTTTCAGACACTCCTGCTAAGTTGAAGGGAAATTATATTTACAATTTGTACGAAGTTTAGAATCTATTTCTTTTGAATATTTATTTTGACAATTTGTACGTCTCTATATTATTCAATGAATTGATTACTGAAGGAAAAATGTTATTATTACAGGATTGAATCGGGTGAAAATCAATGACAGTATGCACGATTGCATATATTATAATATTCCACTTTAATATATAATACCCCAAACACGTGGAATGAGTGTACTGTACTTACTGATTCTCCTGTTCCACTATCCCATACACCAACTACTGCCAATATGATTTGTTTGCATGGAAACTTTCCTGGGTTAATAACTGCAATATCCCCATCCTTGACTTGTTTTACTTTCTTGCATTCCTGAAAAGATGAATGGGTGGACATGAATAGGCATACATATCTGAAATACTTATGTAAAATAGAAAAATGCGGGGTATTACATTATCTGGTCTTGTTTTTGTTTTTTTGCGCATCTCATTAATATTTTCAAATATTATAAGATATCTAAGATGAGAACCGGCGTATTGATAATATGATAATAGATATGGAAAGAACACACAATAACACAATAACTCACATATTGTAGCACGGTTCCTGCCTTCTCGAAGACAGCTTTAGCAACACCAGTACGGAGATTCAAGTCGCTACTGCATGGAAGTACAATATAGTCTGCCTGTAGAATATTTGTAATTACACACATCATCACTTTTGCATGAATAAAATTAATTGATAATATTATAACAATTTGCACACTGTGTAGCTTTGTATAGTTAGTGTTATAATATTTTCCTCTACGTCCACAAAAATATTTCTTTCACAGTGTTGTCAAAATCCTGAATAAACAAGTCAAAATACCTTCTTATCAGCTATACTTCCAGTGACTATTTTAACAGATGTTCTTTCCAGAGTTAGCAAATCATTGGATCCTGGAGGCGAAGACGAAGGAACACCTGGAGGTTTCAAGACGGTAGCCTTTGTAAGTGCCCCCTGTGAATATAAGGCAACGTAATATCTTAGGCATGTGTGAGTGAATGAGTAAATGATATATATTGCCAGCATGCATTTTAGTAAAGTTACAATACCTCTGTCGCAACACTATACACACACTCTTTCTCTTCTCCAATTGGTTTCAATAGTACTTCACCATTATCGTAAAAAAATAGCTTGCACTCTCCTACAAAATCAAACAAGTAAGAGTTAACAATGTATACACAAGTGTAATTTGATCGCCTTTAAAATGCAAGGCGAGGGATTTCGTTGTTCTGTTATATATTCAATGTAGCATTTTCTAGAATTGTCAAGTAACACTCCAACAAAAGAATAACTTTTTAAATGAAGACAGACCTACTTCTTGGAGTGACACGTAATGTACCATCTTTATGTACAACTATAATACTCACCTTTCTTAGTAAATGTTGCACACTTAGCCATTCTTTTAATACTGGTTGATAGCTCAGTAAGCTTCTCGTGTGCAAGTTTCAGACCCTGTGAAGTCCCTTGAATGATAATCTTATTTTCTTGTGAAAGTATACTAACATGGTGTTCACGAAGAGATTCAGCAATTTGACGATGAGGCTGATACTTAATCATGTAGCTCAATACGGCTGGCTCAGTTGAAAACACACATTTCATTTTTACATTTCTTTCTATGAATTGTTCAAGCTTTTGACAGACTGGTATAACATGGTCCTTCACACCAACTACTCTCAGTATTTTTCCCTCACATTTCTGTTTGACCATATATTCCTGCTGCAAACTGGTGGCGAATTGTTTGTATTTATCCCCCTCCAAAAATCTACTATTACTTTTTATCACTATTTCATTTTCAATGAACGCATCGTCCAACATTTTTTTGACGGTTTTTATTTCGCCACTAGTCATTCCAGAAATAGTAACACTATCACCATCAAAATTAATTGCTGCCTTCAGTTTGTTCTTTTGCATCAATTGTACGAAATGATCGAATGCATTTTTGTCTTCTAACATTTCTAAAATAACTGCTGAAACCTCAACAATATTGCAATCTATCTTATTCAAAAACTCCATGATAGTCACCTTTGCGACATTTATTGAGACTTTGTCACCCTTCATGATAATCCGTTTGTTGGCCGTATCGAGGGAAATTATTGGATCGCTATCAAATTGTTGTTTCATTGAGTTAAAGGCAAATCGTTGGAAAAGCTCGAACTTGCCCTCATTAACACAAGCAATGTGATCAGTGACTGTGTTAGCCTCTTTCTCGAGTTTATGTTGTAATTCCTGAACATGCTTGTTAATCTGATATTGTGCATCGGAAACATAACATCTTAGACCCGCTATGATAACTTTATGATTGGTGGATGAGAAGTCCATCTGTATAACAACATCACCACTGTTCATTTTTTCTTCCATATCAAAACATGAGTTTCTTATTTCAAACCAAAAATGGCGATTGATCCGAATGATCTTCATATCAAACTCAGCAACAAATTCCGAAAACTTCTTTTCATTGATATATCTCCATTGCTCATATGTTGTTTGGTCTTGAAGCTTATTTTGTGATTTTATATGACACTCGGCCTGAGAAATCTGCCACATGATGTCTGAAACGTTTTGCAAATTATTTCTAACTTCTGTTGGGTATTTATCATGGCTGATAATGAATTTCATTATATGTTTGTTGACTGGTATTTTCAACGCCTGATTTGAGTAAACCAAAGGTGGGATAGGTCTGTCTGTCTTAAATGTGGGATGATATGGCGTGTCTACGTTTTTACCATCATCACTGTCATTATTATCATCCAATTCCAAAGTCCCAAGGACATCATAAAATGGATAGACCGTGATGTTCGTTCTACAAATACATTGGTCATGTTTCAATACGGAGTCAACCACTGCAAGTGAAAAGAACAATTTTGTTTGAAGGAAAACATACAAACAATCATACCTAATGACACCTGAAAATACCCCCCATTTCCTGGAAAAAAAAACGAAAATAGTATTTTGTACAATTGATCCGGTGATGACACTGACATGGTAATCAAGCACATCAAAGTGATGTATTATGTTTTGCGATTATGGGCATAGTTCAAGTTGCCTACGACACCCGAGGCAATTCTTCTCACTAGTGCCTACAGTCAAATAGTTGCAGTTATAGATAGCATATATGTATATATATATGTATATATATATATTGCATAATTGGAATGCACATTTTTTTGTGAGTTTGTCGTTATTTTTCCAACAAACGAATCACATCATTGTTTTTACAACTATAATATTAACTATTAATTGCACCCCAAATAAATGGCAATGTTAGCCAATCATATTCAAGCATTTGTGTATTAAAACCGTTTTATCACTGCTCTCCGGATTGCCTTAGAGTTTTTTTTTAGAATTACTTTATAATATTTACCTTTTTTCTACCTTCTTTATTAATGAGAACATTTAAGTAGGTATATAGTCTTTAGATGTTTTAAGGGCGCTGTAATCGCTGTGAATTACATTCTCTAGCTTCGGTGTCTTTTCAAATTTGTTAATTGAGTAAGAGATTCGTTATCAATGGCGCGGTTCCACGAAAGCTTATAGTGATTTGATTCTGGTACAACCGGTGAAGAAAGCTTTAATGACGCTGCAAGCTTAATATATTACACTTTCGGTGATACACTCCATAAGATTTGCAGAACACATGCTGAAGCGAAAAAACACTTACTGCCAGTTTGTATCATTGTGGAAATATTGATTACAGTTAGGACCACAAAGGTTGGTCTTGGCCACATGGCAACCAGCTCTCAAGCCCTTCAAGAACAGCAAGAGCATACACTAATTCCACATCAGTTGAGATCATACAGCTGAGGACCAGAAAGACATTGAGGCCACCAATTGCACTTAATCAGACTCCACTGGTGTTCAAGTAAGTAAGTCCCAGGCAGGTTTGTTGATACCACGTGGTATGGAAAAGAGAAAAGCTTGACCCAATACTCAACTGTAGATTGCAGTACAACATTCAAGTCCATAAACAATGACTTGCAAGCAGCAAAGGCATAGACAGCATGATGCAGTATCAATCAAAGAATTTACTAGTAAATCTAACGTGAATTTGAAGCTTTCATTGAAATTGTGAGTTACACAAGTCTGTATTTGATACTATGTGCATGATTGATATGCGGCGTAGCACTACTTATGTAGATTTGAGGATAAACATGGTTGCCTTGAATTATTCATGTCACCTGTGTTAATTATGTCATTGTTTTATTAAAGAAAACTTTAATCCATTTACAGGCATGTTAGTTTTCATGAACATTGTATGTTAATTGTATAATTGCAAAACCATAGAACAGAGTGATGGATATGCCAAAATTGTACAACATGTTACTTCACAAACTTGTACACAATTTATCAGGTGTCTCCAACTACAATGGTTCGAGAATAATCTTTACAAATGGCAATAATATGTTAACAGTTATAACACTTTATCAACGAAAAACGAATTCCAAAGAGAGTCGGTTATTGGTGTAGCGTTAATCACCTTACCATGGACATGCAATAAAATGACATTTTAATAACAAAGTAACAAAGGACAGCCACTTTAGAGGGCAATTCGGGTATACATGGATCACCTGTAGAGGGCGCTACTTCAGCAAATTACTATTGCGCATCTTTAATCATGTCTGTCAAATTTGTCATTATCTTTCTAGATCAATTCTTTTTCTACTTTATAAGTCGCTAATCATATGCAAAGTCTAGAGATTCAAGGAAACATGCACAAATCAGTCCAATTTCACTTCTCCGGAAAAACATCATGCGTCTTATCACTTTCCTAGACGACGTTGCTCACATAGCACTTTGTTCAAACAAATTCAAAAAATGAAATATTCTAGCTCACCTGCTTATTAATATTCGACGTAATGCATAATCGTTTATTTATTTATTTATTTATTTATTTATTTATTTATTTATTTATTTAGTCATTTGCTTAGTCATTTGGTCATTTATTTATTTAGACATTAATGTGACTTTTCTACTTGAAAATGTTTACCTAAATGTCTTCATCATTAAGGTAATGCAGTTTGAACCTCATACCAACCCCTCCTAATAAGCTAGTAATTCGGAACATATCTAATGTAAGATACCCTAATTTAAAATAAACATCTTGCTCAGACCAAAATTATTCAATCAGAGGGTGTCTATAATACCCTATCTATTATAAGCATTTATATGGAGTGAAAGAACAAGGTTATATACACTGATAAATTCACACTCATATTAGCCAGGGATATGCAAAGAAACAAACAAAAAAAGTACCTGTAGGGTCACTAAAATAAACCAAAGCAGAAGTCCCTTTGATAGTCACATGGTCCACATCACCGCCGCCACTTTTTCTCTTGTTTTCAAAGTATAACTCTAATGTATCACTCGTTATATTTGAGGGCAGCCCAGTTACCAATACACAGTCTGTAACACCCGTAGGTGAGATTTTCACTTTCCGTTGGTTAATACTTTTTTTCCTTGTGTTCATTTCAGTGGTGTCGAAGTCTGTAAGTATGTATTGCGAACAAAGTTCCACTTATGACAAAATGTTATAGTTTTGTATTATTTGATTTCATTTCAGTTTTATTAAAACAATTACCTATGTTTTCCTCAAACATGACTAACGCTTTTCCGTTATTGGCCTTGTAATACATTCTGTCAACTCCTATATCACCTGTAACACTTTCCATGAAGTACAACAATGCATCATAAGATGTATTTGGAGGGATTGACTGTGAAGAGAAGAACCATACAAGGAACATTGTGATGATTGTATCATGCTTACCTGTGATATGCTCGTAGGTTTATATAAAATTCTTTAACAAATATTACTTTAATTCAATAGGTGATCATTGGAAACTTTTACAAAAGTCTCAAGGTACATACCTCAACCAATAATCTTGTGCATTCATTTTCTTCATCTGCAGATTGTTTCACAGTTAGCTTGGCGCCATTGATTATATGAGTACGTCCGAGGACAGTTGGTATTACTAATCAATTGAAATGAAAATATGATAATATTACTGGTAGCTACAAAATTATGCTATTTTTCACTGTTTGGGAGTCTATATTTATGCATCTAGGTATACTTAATAGTACTGTTATTTACTGTTATTAGGGTGTCCGAGCCCTCTTGTTAGAGTTCTGATTTTTACGGGTTCAAGCGTAAATGGCTGAATCTTTATTATTATTGTCCGTTTTTTTCTATCTTTACCAATTGGAACTTGTGCACTTCACTTCAAAATGCTAATAAGTCAAATGGTTATCTTGAAATTTTCTATTGCCAATTTTATTCCAAATAACGTGAGATCATCAAACTAGTTGCGCAATGTCACGTACGTACGTAACGTACGCTCATTTCCTCCAGCGGTCTCAAGAAAAAGTCGATGTATGGATGATTGGTCCAGGAATCCTGTGGCTTAATCTACAGCGAAATTAAAAATGCCATACTTCACTCATACTTCATATCCAATAACGATAGTGCCTTTTGTTACTATCAAATCAAAAATTGTTTTCCACTTCCTCCGCCGTTTAATATGTCAAGCTTTTTGAGAAAACTGCTGACCTGAATGCACATTTTTGAATTACTTGTTGTACACAGTACACAAAAAAATAATGTAATGTATTTGTTTATTGTATTATTTGTTTATTATAACGAATTACGTGTTGTACACGAGGCGTTTATGTAGGTATGTATTAATATCGTAGTATAAACTGATTTGAAGCCTAGATGGGCGCATTTAACACTACAGTACACATGTCTCAAAGTCGAGCTACGTGCCCCAGCTGCGCCCCTAAGGTGTTGAATTTATTCGTGCTGTTAAAGTCAACATTATCATAATAGCTAATATATTTACTCAAAAATGTATACAACTATACCTACATATTAACCATATCTATAATTTTGAAATAGGTCAGCTGAGTATTATTGGAGTAATTACGCCCACAAAAACATTTTACGACGATGATGCACAAAAAATATTATTATTACGTTTAGAGGGGGTGTTCGCGACAGTCGAATCTTGAATGCTTTGATAAGGATATGACTGATATCAATCTTGAAATGAATGTAATTGTTGTAATATACTGCTTGTAATGAGTGCAGTTTACAACATAGGGGTAATAACTACAGGCAAAGTCCAGCATGCTAATACCATGAGCAAACAAAAAGTCATTCCCTACTTATCCGTCGATCAGTGCACACCCCTTCAAAATCCTTATCAACTGACGTTCTACGTGTTATAAATTGTTGAAGTTTTTATTGATAGGTTGAGGGAAGGTCATTTTAAAGTGGCAAAGCCTATCATTATTTTGGAGTTAATGTACAGTTAACTAGAGAATAATCATGACGCTCTGCTTCATTTTATATATTGCTATTTTCAGTACGTTTCTTGTGGGAGTGTATAGCCAGAATATCTATGCGTGTAACGATAAACTATAAATCTCAGGGCTTTATTTAGGTAGTAACAGCAACAGTAAATTTGCTAATCAGTTTTCAATTAGGATATTCTTCATAATAGCAATTACTAAATATTTCTAGATAGCGGGTCCTAAACACCTAACCCATACACAAACCTGACACATAAACAGAACAACTACAACATAACAAACTGTAGGCGATGTTTTGAATTCCCAATCTTTTTTTAACAACTATAAATCGGGCGAAGGCTTGGCAGCATGAGATCGGAATGAATCGGTAACTATAGGTGCCCTGGTGAGCTAAAACATCCTCTCAGACGTCCAGCTCAACGATAAACAACACTGCCAACTCACTGCCTGTTAATATATGATGCACTGGTGAGCATCGTCGTAGAATTGCTGAAGTACTTCATTTCTAAAATATGAAAAGTTTCTTACCACTGTCGTCTTCATAACTTATCCGGTATTTGTTCCCAATTCTCTCAATCTTTGATATTTCTCCACCGCCAGACCGTCTCTTGTTTTCAAAATAATTCTCAATGGTTTCTTGATCCGTGTTTTCTGAAGCACCGTATATGTATAAGACGGAATTCGTGCCGGCAGACGCCATACCTTCACGCAGCAATCAACGATGTTACACCTGTCAAAACTAAAAGGCTGCACTGAAGTGAATGCGGAACTTTTTTTAATTTTGTTTGTTGAAGTACATCTATTGTTTCAATTCGGCGAACTTGCTTCATGTAGAAATAAGGGGATTTCCCTGCAACATGGTGTGAGTAAAAGTAGCCAATCAAATATCACTACCTAATCGAATCATTTACGTATAATCCTTTTGCAGAGTGTATACGTGTTGGCGACAACGATTACATTTCTGCCACTTCAGCTGCTAACAGAGGTTAGTGTAGCGCACACTCGTGCGATTGATGTCTACATATGCAAGCGGGAATTCTCTGTACTTGTCAAAAGGTAGGTTATTACCTGTGGCACTAGTCAATATACATATCAAATCGACGTGTCAGGGTTATACAGGTTGGCTGTTTGCAGTTAGCTTTAGAACACCGCTGAGCGGAAAATGGCGCACCAAACTTTCAAAATGTTGGTCTTGTGGTTCTACGGGTTAATCAAATAGATTCTTATATTGTCAGGGAGGGGGTGGTGTGGTGGATACCCGACTAAATTGAATTAAGCTAGTTGCTTATGGACTACTTATTTATATGACTGATATAAATTTTGATTTAAGTAGAGTGAAATTGTTGTAATATACTGCTTGTAATTGGGACAGTTTACAACATAGGGGTAATAACTACAGGCAAAGTCCAGCATGCTAATACAAAGAACAAACAAAAAGTCATTCCCGACTTATCTTTTGATCAGTGCACAGGGTGTGCAACATTCCCATCAACTGACGTTCCATTAAAACACTTCATCCACGAACAGACATTGTGATACGTTCATGGATATATAACAGCTAAAATAGTAACATAAAACAATGAGTTACTTCATAACAGAGCAAAATATTAAAGTATCTGTTTATCTGTCCTTGGGCATGAGGTTAAGCTCAAATCTATTTTTTATTTATTTGTTCAACATATTATTTTCTGTGACGAGTGAATTGGCGTATTTTTATTGTATAATTGTATAAGAACAGTTTTAGGTGGTCATTTAGACCTTTTCAAAATTGGAATACAAGATACCTGATGGATATAATATACCAACATTCCCTAGCAACCACAGATAATACCCATGACAACCAACCTAAATCGGCATCTCTGAAGCATGTTTAACATTACAATTTTCAAAACCTAAAACATAGTATATTGATATGAATAATAACCATAATCATAAACATAATGAGATGGCCCTAGAGCAAATGTAGGAATAGTAAGATAAAACAAATAATTTAAAAGTACGGCAGTATGACAGTAATAACAACTATTTACTTGTTGCATACTTTTGTTTACCTTCAATGTTATTTCAGAAACATAATGTCAAACACAAGGACGGTTCTGGTTGTAGGTCTTCCGGATACTACAAAGAAGTGTGTGCTTGAAGAATGGGTGAAGAAGTTTATTAATAAAGATTTTGAATTGAAATATCAGCTTGGCTCAACAACTGCGTTGGTAGTATTCAGAAGAAAGAGAGGTATTGTTTCCCGTCTATAAAATAATGAAACTTTTTTTGACAGTAGAGTTCAATATGTGTCTGAATCGTATATATGCTTTCATGTCAAATAAGCTGTCCACTGAACTTGATTTGCATTGTGTCGTTTCCTTGATGGTGTTGATAGAAATTTGTTCGTGAGAATTTAGCAAATTACAAACCAACAAATATAACATTGCCGATAATGATAGTGTACGTGTATTAGGTTGAACTCAAAATTGTGATAACATTTTCAATTCATTACCTTTGACGAATATTTTAGTGAATATTTTTGTCAGTCTGGTGAAAAATACTAAATACAACAATCTGCTTTCAGATTACTGATTGGTCAATTACTTTCATGTTGAATATTAGAAAAAATCGAAAGTGATTATTTTATCCATGCGCTAGGGACATTTCGTTTTTCGTTTATTTTATCATTGAAATGCCTATTTTTAGCAAAAACAGTAGACGATATTTTAACAGAGGAGGTATTTTTCACATTTAAGTGTATCATGTGTAACAGAATGCAGTTACTGATTTAAAAATAAAATAAGTTTTTAAGTAATGTACCAGCTACACCAGTACTCGGCAATAGAGTCCATTACTGTGAATAATTTGTAGTGATGAAACCGTGCAACTCACTTCTTTTGACAATATATTGTTAGGTCTTTAAGGAACATTGTCTACTATTTGATCCTTGAGAGGGTCTGCAAGTAAATAGTCACAAACAGCTCAGATAATATAATTATATTAGATTACACTAACTTTTCATCATATTTTTTGCAGATGCATGTACATTCTGCAATACGAAGAGTCCAATAAAAATAAAAGATAGAGCACTTGACGTGTTGCCATGTTGCCAAGTAGGTTATTTTTTTAAGTTATGTTACACATTCCGAGTTTTTAAGGGTGGTATTAATTAAGTTTTTAAAGGTAAATATAATGTCAACAAATTTTTGGAAATATTCTGATACTTATTGGTCATTGTCATATGTGAATTTAAAAAGTTTTACCCCATTTACATCATGTTTACGATGTTAAACCACCTGATGTGGCAGATTTGATATTGTTATACATCAGCAACAGAACGTACTGTAAAACATGTCTTTTTAGCTAGCATGTTGTTTTAGCTAATTTAACTAATATGCAATTTCGCTAATTCAAGATGTCGCTAATTTAAAATAAATTATATTCTCACAATAAGATTAATTGTTGACACTTAAATTAAGATTCAGTTGATTGTCCTTATTTATCTTTCTTTCCATATTCTAAATAGTTTATTATGTTGAAAATAAATGGCAATATTAACATTTTATGTTTATCCAAAAAAATTATGAAGCATGGCTCAATCACCAGTGTAAATAACTGTGCAATAGAGCAAAAAAGCTGTATCAGGGAAAGAAACGTCAGATTAAGATTACATCAGTACCTAAGAATAATGGTCGACAATCTAACTGAAGTGTGGTTATATTTATTGAAACATGAAACCAGAACCTAATAAACTTTAAACCTATATTTGTTTTGTTTTTTACATTTAGGTATTCTCCTTTCTAAACATGAAGTGTGCACCGTGGGTCAGTGTTATTTACACGCACATCAGAGACACAATAACTACAAATGGGTTACGTTTTGATAATAAAATGCCTCTAGAAATGTGTGGTGGGCTGGGTTCAATTTTAGACGCAATTGAAGCATTAATGCAGAATTTAAACCTAATTCGTTTTGATAAAGGGGACATTGGTGAGTATATATTTATATAGTTTAGCTTATGCTAAATGCTATGCTAAGTTAAGCAGGTTTAGGTTCTTTGCTCGAATTGGGTGGGGTGATTGGTGGGGGCGTGGGGGGGGGGGTAACATACTTTATTCATTTCTGAAACTAGCTTGTAAAGTGGATTTTTGCCAACAATTGTTAACCTTTTAAAAGCGTCGATCAATGACTACATTTGCTTGTCAGTTCGTTTGTATGGTGTAATATATATGGTGTTATATAATTATCGTTTTTAGGTTCAAAGCTATTGAATGTTGCGTATATTTATAAAGTTTCGGATGAAGTATCGCAATCATCACTTGAAAGTGACATCAATCGCCAAGGTAATGCTAAACTATACTTGAGACAAGCAGGACAACGGGATGCACTGGTGATTTTCACATCTGAAAATGGTAAGGCATATTTCTGTTTTTAAATAATATTCTCACCTATAATTGTGTAGCGATTTGCGTAACAATGCCAAACGTTCAAACTGGATATCATGTTGTTGTTTTTTTTTCATTTATAAATATAATTGAAAACAAATCTATTCTTCAGTGCAAAATAGAATTATTCACATTTTCATATTTCGTAATTGTTTGACCAAGGTCATAAGGTTGTTTCGAATATTTCATTATGTTTTCACACCTTCGCTGAAATAGGATACATTGCAATTGTGGTTTTTGAATCAACAATCACACCATTCCGTTCGTCTGTCAATACTTATGAATGAGTAGGCAGACTAGTGAAATCTAACTCCCGCTTTACGGCCAATAGAGCATCCATTGCTGCAGTGAATTGATTCGTTGACAACAATCTGTCATTTTTTATACACATTTATATCCGAGTCACTACAATATCTTATAATAGACCCCAATAGAAATAACGACCACTACTGCATTCCATGCCATGTGCAACTATACTAACATGCTCAGATATTTACTACACAAATTGCAGCACAAGTTATTCGTATTGTATTCGTTATTTGTACTCACGCATTAATGCATTGTTATATTTATATATTTATCTCAAAAGATGCAAGGCATTTCACTGAGAAAGATCATAACCTATATAAAGTAAGGAGATGTGAACAGGTATGAAATATCTTTTTCATCAGTTTGTTATGCTCTAAGTGTAAACATGTTCGATGACAAAATGTAATCAAACTTCATGAGGTCTTACAGAGAAAGTATTTTTCATTGTATCAGATATTTGACTCTGGAACCGCGAAGGGCGAGACATGGTTGAAATTGGACGGCAAACGCATTAAACAGATCGCACGGGACACAAAAGTGGAAATACTTCCAGCTGATACACCAACATTCAATGGTACCTTACAAAATCTGATGGAATTTAACAACTCAATAACAACTGAGTATATTAATGAAAGACACGAGTCTGCCGATTGTAGGGATGCTCTGTTTCCCCTTCGAGAAATGACGAAACAACAGAACAACAATAACTTACCTTCCGGACATGGAGAGGCATCAAACCAAAATGTCATTACAACGTCTCATATGAATGAGACTGGGAAGTATGATGTAGCCAGTGGAAGATTACCATCCAATGAACAATGTAAAACAATCCCATCTCCTGAAATAATGACTGACACCCTTGACGTTGATGAAGATATATTAAAATATATGAGCAAAACCAAACAGACAGAATTGAGAGACATTGAAAAACGGTATTATGTCGATATTCAAACAAACCCATCTG